AATCTCTTTCATTCAGTTGCAATTGAACAGTATCGTCTTTCTTTGAGCTTTTCCACTCTGAGATATGCAGGATCATAACAGGGGGGGGAAATCGCCTTCGTATATGGCTCCCACTTCCCAACAGAAACAGACAGAGACAAAGAGAGAGAGAGAGAGAGAGAGAGAGAGAGAGAGAGAGAGAGAGAGAGAGAGAGAGAGAGAGAGAGAGAGAGAGAGAGATGGACAGCAATACAGACTGTGTACAAATGTGCTGCAATGATCTCACGAATGACTGAGTGACTGGGCCTAACGACCTACAGGCCTATTGGACCTAGAGGGCCTAGTACCCGGCCTACTGGTGCGGACGAAGTTTACAACACCTCCTGAGATACCTATACCATCGGGTCTCATGAGGAGACTATGGTACACGGGACAAGGGGAATCTGGACCGTAATTGGGAATAAGATGCTCTGAGACGCGTGAAACCCTTCAGTGAAAAAAAAAAAAAAAAAACAGAATGAAAAAACAGCCAACGTGAATTGAGAGAGACAGCCAAACAATGTTCAGGCAAACCAGCCAATTGCCTTGACAAAACGCAGATGACATGAAGCACAAAGCACCATGGCTGAGGCATGGTCAAGGCAACAAGGAGGCAAACACTCGTTCTGTGCACTGAATACACAGGAAAAATAAGGAGCAAACATGACCTGAAATAGCAATATTGAATACTCAGTGATAACTTTCAATGTCCCTGAGCACCATACTCAGTCCATGCACAGGAAACGATGACAAGCAAAAAGCTACCCAGGTCCAGTGAGATTGATCAGACCAGATCTGAAATACGCCCGATAGCCAAATGTTTGGTCACAAGAATGTCCGAGTGAGCTAAGCACAGGCATGCTAGGGTCTGACCAACTCTCCAAAGTACAATATGTTGTCCCTGTCATCTGCTGAGGACCTAGCAGACGACACCCAGTAAACAAAGCAGCCCAACAGGGCCAGACGAATATAGAGACGGCCAGGGAGCAATGAAATAGCAGGTGTTCTGCTATTCAGCACTACTTTTACAGTTATTAATTTATGACCAAATAAGAGAGAGCGAGAGAGAGAGAAAGAGAGAGTGGGAGAGAGGGAGAGAGGGAGAGAGGGAGAGAGGGAGAGAGGGAGAGCTGTCTCTTATACACATCTAGATGTCGACCCAACCCAAGCCTTGATGTATCATATCTAGCCGGACCCATGTAAACACTATTATTTTTACCCAGACCCAGCCCACCCACGCTAATTTAAAA